GCACTTCTTTTCTACAAACCGTCTTACAGTCATTGGTCAAGAACACGGGAGCTAGAATTCTGATTGGCAGACATTATCTACAGTTTAGTTGAGGCGGGCCGTTTGGTCCAATGCTCGCTTTGCTTGAAAAGCCGGAAGTCTGGCCCCCAGACGGAGCTCTTTAACCCCGGAGACTACAGTTTGGTTGAGGCGGACCATGAAGATGGGTTGAGATGGACCGTTTGGTCAAAAGCCGGAAATCCGGCCCCCGGCCGGAGCTCTTTAAGACCTGAGAAGATGCTAACATCTTCAGAAGCGTCGAACTCTCCTGAGAAGAATATTCAATTTGTATACACGTATCACACGGTACACATACAAACACATTAAACTCTTCATATCACAATTTGAGCCGCTACTAACCGATAACAGGCAGCGGAAAACAACAGAGTGACTTGCAGAGATCAGGCCGCGGTTAGCGGGGTAAACACACTCTACCCGGCCTCTGAGCCTGGAGCCGCCTGGCTCGGTTAGCGGAGCTACGCTGCTCCGAAAACTCTGGAGTATATTTCAAAGAAACTGCATGAACTAAGTGCGTAAATGAAGCTATGAGGGCTACTTTCTAGCCTAAAAACATCTCAAAACAACTTTTGTGACAAACTTACCTCTGTTTATCGCTGCTGGTGGCGCAGTGCAATGGTGGCCATCTTGCTGGTCCAGAGACGAGACTTGTATGGCTGCAAGTAGGTGTGGAAAGCCACTATGGCTGCAGGTATGTGTGGAAAGCCACTCCTCCGTGCTCTGGCCTTTCAAAATAAAAAACTAAACTAAGAACTCAGGCCAACCATTTTTCTCGGTGACCAGATGTCCAGTATTATTTGTTTCTCACAGGAGCATTACTTAAACTGACTTATGGCTGGCAGAAAATACTATAGTGAAATAGCCTGAAACCTGAAAGGAACAAGCTTGTCTGCCTGCAGCCAGCACAATGTGTGTGATACGGCCCCTGTGTAAGCCGGACAGAGAGAACTTCCGGGAGAGACCACTTGTCAAAAATGAAATAATGAAAATCGAAATTATCTCGTTATTAGTTCGTTATCCGTCTTTTCCATTTTCGTTTTGTGAACTAAATGGGAAATCGGATAACGAGAAAAAAAAATCCGATTTCCGATTTTGGTTTTCTAAACGGAAAACGAAAAAACGAGTCTATTTCCGTTTTCTCATCTTTCATTTCAAACGAAAAAACGAACTGCCTGAAAATACACGGACCAACAAGGCTAGAGGAATTTAAATTCTAAAATTAAATAATTGCTATTTTAGCATAAAGCTTGGATATTTGTGCAAAGCAGCGATAAGACAGCTGTCCTTATTTTTTTAAATATATTTTTTCTAAACTTGTACAATTTGTCCCTTTTATTTTGAGAAGTTGAACCGGAAGTAATAATTGACCGAAGGTGGCTAACTAGCTCCGGGGTTTGTTGTTGTTGTCGCTGCTGGCTAGAATAGCTGGTATTTTCAGTTTGGTTGAGGTTGACAGGTTAGTGATGAGCTGTGCGCTGATGAGCAAAAGAGGAAGTAACCGATAGCAGAACCGGACAGCTTCCGGTTAGAAGTGCGTTGAAGCTCAGTGGCCTCGCCCAGCAGGTAGCTAGCTAGCTTCTAGCTAGCTCCTAGCTTCTCTGTTTCAGTCCATGAAGTGCAGCCTGAGCCTGCTTCGCTGCTGTCAGCAAGTCGCCTAAAGAGATGTCACTGAGGTATTCTACTCCAAACCTTCTTGATCACGTTTAGGATAAGGATTTTTTGTCTTATACAGAATGACCAAACGCTGCGTGTTAGCCTAGTCCGGTTATCTTCTTAGTTCCGCTTTCGCCTTAAGATTTGCGCTTCTGCACGATTGGATTATCTGTATTATCTAAAATCCACACTGGCAGCCTCTCTGTGGAGGTCCTGCAGGTTTCCATATCGCTGTCACATGAATTGTTGTAACCCGGGCTGGGCTTCAGGCTGAACCAGGTAAACAGACCTGTCACTGTTAGCCTCTCAATCCTCAATCTCAATCTCAATCCTTGTTAACAGGTCTTCTGACCTGTTAACAAACTCTGCTTATGCTGCTGTTCTATTGGACTTTTCTTCTGTCTACTATATTCCGATATTTCATTGATTTAACTCCATCCAATATTGCTTTTGAGTCAAAAATGTTTGTTTTTGTGTTATTAACCAAACTGTTGGAAAATTAGGATGCAAAATTGTAAATAACTCATTTTAAAGTGAATGAATCTAAAAAGTGTTTATTCCCTTGAAACGTTTTTGCAACGATCTGTGTTCATTTTTACCTGCCTGTTTACTGTTAGAATAAATGACGCGTAATTAACTTGTAACAGTTCCCTTATTTAGTCAATCTTGCATTAGTTCATGCAGGATATATTTTTTATCCATATCTATTAAAATCACATTGAAGAATATTCTAAGTTGGCACATACTCATGTCATAACAGTAGATATTTTCAATATAGTTGAAAATGTTCTGTTTGCTTTATGAAGAAACCAGTTATTACATCAAGCATGGGTTTGTTGGATCAAAATATAAGATTGATAAAAAGATGTAATGCATGATACTTTGATTATGTGTATGTTATTGTCTGAAATTCTCAAAAGTTCATCCAGTAATAAATAAAAAAGATTGTAACTAGTGGTGTACTGATTGCATTTTTTTTTTGTTTTGTCTGAAATTCTGTTAAATATTGTAAGAAAGTTGCTGAGTTGGTAACAGTGGGGTGACTATTGCTAGTTAGCAAACAGACATGCAGACATGACCTGGTGGGTGGTCAGAATCCTAAAGACTGAGTGTCAGCTTCCCTGTAATGACGTGTTGCTCCTCATCAGGTCTGTCTGCTGAACCATCGTGATGGCAGGATCCCAGTGGGAGCTTCCCCCAGAGCTATGCTGCCGGCCCATGGCTTTCGTAGCGCTAACCGGTCTGGATGTGGTGTACAATGCGGTGCATCGCGCCATCTGGGATGCTTTCTGTGCCAACCGGCGCGCTGACAGAGTCCCCATCTCTTTCAAGGTTCTCCCAGGAGATCATGAGTATCCCAAATGCCGCACTAAGGTGAGCAGGAGCTTCAGAGATGTGTTTAGTGAAATACAGAGGAGCCAACCTTTCTGACCTCTGATCAGGAAGCTTTTAATCAAGGTTAGATTAGTGACGTGCTTTCAGGAAGATAGATTTAAGCAGATATGTTTAATGATGGCAGCATGTTGAAGTAGCTCTCTTATGTTAGTTCTGATTAGTTCTTTTTCTAGAATTTGTTCATCGATCTTTGGGTGGAGAAGTCGCTGTTTGTACAATTATTCCCTCTGGTTCTGGACGTTGTGCAGCTGGAAGGAATTTTGCTGTTAGTCTTTTACTTTTCAGTGGTTGCTATGATGAGCAACCTTGGCAACAAACTACTGTTTTTACAACTTGGAGTAGCTGAACAGCATCTCAAAAACTCAAATAGTACCTGATCTATACCAACTGATGGAGTCATCCAGGATATGTTAATGTGAAATATGGTCTGCTACACAGATATTTAGCTGTTAGCATGTTAGCAACAATCAGTCAGAAACCTCTTCATATATGTTGCAAGACTGACTACTACTGTAGATCTTTCCTTCCCACAACTTCACCATCAATAATGACTCTAAAATACTTGGATAAAAACGAGTTACGGCAACATTCAATTTACCTTTGGGTAATAAAGAATTTCTGAATTGAATTGGCTCGAACATCTCAATATAACTACATTTCTATATATGATCTTTCTACATCACTAGCAGTACTTTAACACCCACTGAATACTGCACCAATGTTTAAAAACGGCCAAAAAAAAAGTAATTATATATATTTTTCTTTTTAGTTTAATATTTTGTCTTGTGTGCCCAGCGAACGTCGTATGAGTGGTACATCCCAAAAGGCATCGTGAAGACTGGCTGGATGAACAAACACCTGAACCTGGTCCCTGCCCTGGTGGTTCTGTTCTATGAGCTGGACTGGGACGACCCGCAGTGGAAGGAGAAGCAGTCGGAATGCGCGACTAAAGTGGAAATTGTCAGGTGGGGAGGCGTGGTTATTAATGTGCTCAGGTTACAGTACCACTGTCTGATCCACGCCAACATGCAGTATGAATTAGCTTAGCTGTGTGGCTAGCAAAGTGGGTTTTAACCGAACTGGAACTGGTTCTGTTTGGCTATAGGACCAGTCTGCAGGGCAGAAACACCAAAGTGGCGGTGGTTTTAATCCAAAAGAAAACTCCTCTGCCTCCAGGTAAAACACAACGTCTCTCAAAAGTAATCACACCCTTTGAAGTTTTTTCACTTTTTTTTATCGGTGCATGTATTGATTGGGATCTCATGTAGAAACCCAGCAGAATGTAGTGCATGGTTGGGAAGTGGATGTACTGTGTATGTGTGAAGCTGATTCCCTTTGTATTTTCCCAGCATTCCATGTGGTTCCTGTCTGAATCATGCGTGTGTTGACAGGAGAGGACCTGGTGGCGTCAGAGAGAGCCTCAGCTCTCTGTAGCTCCTGCGACCTGTCTGGGAAGAGCCTGTTTGTCCTGCCTCACACCGACCACCTGGTGGGCTACATCATAAGGTACAGGAAGCGCCTGCAGGAAAGGGTGGGTCTGATTGGCTCGAGTGTGAGCTCAGCTTCCTGTCTGTTGGTGTCACCTCTAAGGTTGGAAAATGCCTTCTATGAGCACGCTCAGACCTACTACTACACTGAGATCCGTCGGGTCAAATCCCATAAGGAGTTCCTCAACAAGACCACCCACCAGGTAGACCTGGCTCCTGACTCCCCGCTCTGACATGTTACAACCGTAGACCTGCCAAGGAGAGGGGGGGAGGGTTGTTAGTTTTCAGGTCTGAAGAAAATAAAAGTAGGGAAAAATATTGATGTTTCCAAACTTTATTCCCTTTGTTATCAAAATGCTGTATCCTTCTCTACATCTTTCATTCCTTCCCTTCTTTCCTTACAGTTGTCAGTAAAGTCAGCCTACTGTACAGATATCTGCCATTTTTCATAGTGAACAGTATTTAATGCTTTAAAACAAACATGAATTGCTTGAACTGGTCTAATGTGGACAAACCCAGGACAAACTGTCACAGTAATGTAGTAGACAGAAAATGAAACATGTTTTCTTTTTGTTTTTTAAATCAGTAAAGTGAACCGTGTTGAGTGTGTTATCATGCACATATAATGCTCCTCTCTCCCCTCGTGTGTGTGTGTTTCCTCCTGGCATTGCTCATGGCAGCTGCTGTTTGTTAGACATCAGTTTAAAATGGCTTTCCTCAGTGAACTGAAGCAGGACACCCAGAACGCTCTCAAGTAAGTTTAATTCATGACATTTAAACCCTTTTAAATTAAGGGGGAAACAAGACTTATCTAAGTTAATCATGAAACACTGCTGTGACCTAGAGCTGCTGAGAACACAGCTCTAGTTCTAGGACCCTTTTATCTCTGTGGCTGCAGGTACTACAGAGCTGCTTACAGTTTAGTGCATGAGCTCAGAGCACATGAGACCAACATGCTGGAGATCAAGACCATGGCAGGATTCATCAACTACAAGGTCAAGGACCACTTCCTCTGAGTCCAGATGTATCAATAGACTTGGTGGATTGGTTCAGTTTGATGACTGGTTTCATGTTTCCTTGTGCGTGCGTGTGTGTGTGTGTGTGTGTGTGTGTGTGTGTGTATAACCTCTGCAGATCTGCCGCCTGTGTTTCCAGCACAACACTCCTCTGGACGCCATAGCTCAGTTCAGGAAGCACATCGACCTGTGTAAGAAGAAGATTGGCTGTGCTGAGCTGGCCTTCGAGCACTCTGCATGGATGTCAAAACAGTGAGATGCACACGCTGCACTTAAACACATCACCATGAAAGCTAAGGCACCATCAGGAGAGGGAAACCTGTACACTGTAGTTAGGAGTGTTAGTTCGATAATTGGGGCCTGCCCATAGCAATGCATAGGGAGAGCACTGCCTCCATGCATTGCATGGCAGGCACCTATTGTTCTA